TACATGGTTAATGTTTCATCAAATAGGTCTATGCGTTTAGCTAGTTTTTCTTCCTGCCCTGCCAATCCGTCGGTAATATTTGCAAACCTTGCCCCTACATTCCTTCCGAATACATAGTCACACTCACTTGTGCACGGATAGTTGGCCATGACAGCATTTTGTATACATATATTACCACACGACTTCTTTTTCTCATTGATTATGGCCCTTCGAGCTTTCATAATCAAATAAAATGCAATCGTTCTCGACTTTTCATGTTGTTCCTTTGAATTCTATAGAAATAGGAAAGTAGGTATGGAACGTGGGCTCCTTTGTGTCACCGGTGCCGACATTTAATACAGAACTTCAGAGATCGAGAAAAGACATTTGTCGACTAGAGCAGTTTACTCAGGGTAAGTAGGTGTAGACATACAAAATGTGTTGCCCTAAGAAAATGGAGTGTTGCTGTTATGATTTAGTTAAGGTTAACAGCTAGTCCTAAATTAGGTGGGTACAAGATCAAGAACTCAAACACAAAGTTTCAACATTTAAAGGTAAATTTTTCTAAAGACAAATTTATTTTACCAAATACAGTCAAATTGTATAACTTCTATTTTTTTTCTCTCCTACTTCTCCTCCTCTTCCGCCCTTCTTCTCCTGTTGCTGTTGCTGCTGCTACTACTAGCAGACGCGTCGCCACATAAAAAACATGGTGGGAGATGGGGGGAGGGGGAGGAAGCTCTGTTCTCATAATTGTCTAGAAGTCACAAAGTCATGTTTAACTAGGGGTTAATTTTAGTAATTATTACTAATAATAACATAATAATTGTTCATTACTATTACTATTATTATCAGTAATATTATTATATTATGTGAGTGACAAAAAATACATTAGAAAATATTATGCAAAGTTAAACACACACTAAAAAGAGAGCGACCAAAAACATGGTGGGGTGGAGAAGTGGTTGCCTCAGCTCCTTAAACATCATTTAAAGGCCTTAGCCCTCCACCGAAAACAATTGTGGGGTGGGGTGGGAGCTCAAGGTACCTTTGACACAAGATTCTGACACCTGACACTGGATATTAGTCTACAACTCCCACAGAGTTTTACCACCACCACTCTTACTATTACTCATCATCATCATCATGTAGCAGGTCCTTTGCTCTCATCACAGTCTGCCTGAAAGAAACTCGGTCTCTCGCCAGTTCTCCCGCCTCATGCATTTTCACATTCAAGGAGTCACCTATATCCTGTGCCCATCTTCGTGTCGGTCGGTCCCTGCCCCTCCTTCCTGGTACCATGCCTTCTGCTATATTTTTTTCCAATACGTCGTAGCGCTTGATATGACCAAAATATTTCAGCTTTCGAGAAAGGATGCTGTTTATTAGCCAATCTTTCTTAATGTTCAGATCTTTTAAGATGTCATTATTTCTCCTCTTCTTTGTCCAAGATATTCTGAGAATCTTTCTATAACATTTCACCTCAAACGCCCCTATTCTCTTTCTTAAGGACTGACAGATAGTCAACGACTCACATCCGTATGTAGCCACAAGGAAGATGCATGCTCTCAAAATTCTAATTTTGATCTCCTTGCTGGTGCTTAACCATGGACTTTTAAGGCTGTTCGATCTTACTATTACAACTAGAATAATATTACTGCTACTATAGCACTATTACTAAGACAATAACTATTAATTTTATGCTACTGTAATTTCCTCTGCTACTACTACTGTCGCCGATGCTGCTGCTGCTGCTGCCACTGTCACCACCTTCACAACCACCAATACACAATCCAAATGCCGCCACTAGTACACGACAACTTTAAGCTCTAGCATTACCCACTTGACAATTTGCTGTACAAGTCTGAACAACGCTTATCGATTTGCATAAAGTACGGCGTAAACTGTATTTTGGGCACCCAAAATATTTTACTAGATAAGGCAGCAAACCTCTAATCTCAGTCACCGTTTATGACATGCCTAGAAGTGTTGCTTTTCTTTGCTGCTCCTTACGGCCCAGTTAGCATACATACGGTGGTATGTGACGGGGACAGTTGGTCGTCATTCCAAGCTTCCCTTCCCCCTTCGGACCTTTATCTAAAAAAAAAAAAAAAACACACAAAAGAAAAAAAAAACATAAAAAATGGTCAGCAAAACATACAGTATATGCCAGGTTTATTAGCCACTTACAGGATACAAAAAAGGGACGTTGTGACGATTGGCCTTCATAAGCTCACCAACGAGAAGAAACGAAACACAACATACTAACCCACAAATAAACTGACTTACATTGTGATATTTAAATACAGTTAGTTAGTTGTGTATCCTCTATAGGACGCTGCAGAACCAACCCCAGAATTTGTTAGTCTGTTGTGGTTTTCCTAGGCAAATTTTACGTGGACTAGTTTGCCAAATATGAACGGCTAGCTCTCGGTACCATTGTCGGAACCAGAGCAAGACAAACCATCCGCAGCTGTGATCAAACCTGGAACACCAGCATTAAAAAGCGACTTCGCAGGGC